GCGCAAAGGTGTTACTCTTTTAGGGTCCGAAAGAGACCCCATCGCAAGCATACGTTAAGAGAGAGCGCACTTATTGAGACTTGAAAGAGACAAAGAGGGCAAGAGAAACTGTCACAAAAGCTTGATTGGTGGCAGGTGGGTACATGGCGTTTAGAGGTGGGGGGCAGAAGCAGGAACAGGACCATGATGGGGAGACAAACCTCCCTGAGTAGAAGGGCCTGCAGGGCTGGTACAGGACCTTCCGACCCAGGCAGTCAGGGGAGGCTGACAGGGCAAGCCTTGTGACGGTGCGACCCCTGTACTGTCCCCAGTAGGATGACCTCCATCAAGAGCAAACCTGGCAAGACCCTAAGGGAGGGACCTACCTTCCAAGGGACTCAGCCTGAGGACAAGACTACCTACATCCTTGGTTAACAGTCAGATAGCAATCCCTGGAGGCTTAACCTGCGAGGGGGTGCGGGGCATTGGGGTCTGTCGCTGCCATCCACAGACTTTTGCAAACCAGGGTGCTCAGAATTTAAGCTCCAGTACGTTACTTTGAGGACTAAGGTGTGCCTGCCCCAAGTCATGGTATGTTCGCTGAACTCAAATACATGTGAAAGTTGGACATTGACTAAGGAAGACGGTGTATGTGAATTAAGGTGCTGGCAAAGAAGATTGAAAGTATCATGGGGTGCCAAAACAACAACCCCCAAAACCAAACACTTCTGTGTTGGGAGAAGCACAACCAGAATGTCCCTTAGAGGCAGGGATGGCCAGACATCTCTTAGGTCAGCAGTTCTCAACCTGTGGGTCAAGACCCCTCTGGGGGTTGAACAACCCTTTCGCAGGGGTCGCCTGAGTCCTAACAGTAGCAAAATGACAGCGATGAAGTAGCAACGAAATAATGTTATGGTTGGGGGTCCCCACCACGTGAGGAACTGTATGAAAGGGTCGCGGCGTGAGGGAGGCTGAGAACTGCTGAGTTAGGTACTTTGGACATGTGGTCAGGAGAGAGCAGTCCCTAGAGAAGGGCGGCATACTTGCTAAAGCTGAGGGTCAGCGAGAAAGAGGAGGCCCTCGCTGAGATGGACGGACCCGTGGCTGCAGCGTGGGGCTCAGGCACAGCCGCGATTGTAAGGGCGGCTCAGGACTGGGCAGTGTCCCCTTCTGTTGCCCACTGAGAGACAGGACCAAGTCCATGGCACCTACCAACGACCAGATGCGTAGGACTTGACCGTAAGGCAGCACAGATGCCCGAAAGAGAGGTGGGGCAGGCCATCAAAGCTAGGTCCCACCCAAGAGCAAAACAGGATCAAGTTTGTGGAAAGACTCGGCAGTGTTTGAGTCTTTTAAGAGATAAGCTTAACATCAACAATGACTTCTGCAAAGAGCTTTGTGGAAAGCTTGGGTGACAAGGACAGCCGGGAGTCTTTGATCTGTCGGAGGACAGAGCAGATAACCTCCTCTATGACCTGTCTGAGCCTTGAAGGGAATTTCTTGGGCGGACTTACTCTTGGTACATACTTCCGTTTTATCTGTCTTTCCTGTAGGCAGCCCCTCCCCCTAACCAGGTGGGGCTAGCTGGCAGATAGTTCTTGTCCTTCCAGTCCCCTTGATTTCATCTTGGGGGGCTGGTGACCAGAGAGTGAGTGTGGGGTGCTCAAGGTGACGTTAGCCTGACCAAGCTCACTGCCATCGATTTGAGTCACACCATGCTCAATCAACCCCTGTGGGTTTCCCAGGCTGTAACTCTTTACGGAGCGGAAAGCCTCCTCATTCTCCCCAAGGTGACATTTGGACTGTTTTAAGGCTGAGGGTGGAACCAGGGCTGCGGGGAGGGGGTGCCTGTGGTTTGGGGAACGAACACAGCATACTTCATCCGAGACTGAGCTGGCCGGTCCTCTGGCCACCTTCGGCGCGTTCCGTATTCTTCACCAAAGTCCAAATGCCTATTCCTCTCCAGTTTTCCTTCTCTGGATGTCCCACTTTCACGTGCATATGAGACCACTGAAAATACCATGGCTTGGGCCAGGGAGAAGGGCCCACCCAAATCCGCTTTGGGGAGGCCAGGAGGGCATGGTGGGGTTAGGGAGAGGCTGGGGAGGAAGGAAGGTGGCCAGGGCATCTGGGGTGCTTGGGGCTCCAGCAGTGTGGCTGGTCAGGATGGGCAGAGCTTGGAGGGATGCTTCTGGATCCCGCCTTCGGCTCCAGGAACCAATGAGCCCCTTAGCAGCAACCGTAAGGCAGTGAAGGGGCAGGGCCTCCAGGACCAGGCTCACCCCTTCCACACACACACCCTGGGTTACAACATCCTGGGGCACCTTGGGGCACAGGCCTGACACGCCCCTGCCTTGCAGTCAATGTCAACTCATGATCCCTCTAGGGACGAGGAGCCCTGGCCCAGGGGGCTTCCAGGCCTGTCATCCTCACAGAGCCAGACGTCACATCGTTATCCAACGGCAACCAGGGGCTGGAGTTCACACCCCAACCTTTCAGTCAGTGGCCAAGGGTTTAACCTCCGAGCCATCGGAGGTCCTCACAGGCCTGCCACCCACTCCTATAGCCCGCCCACCCAACCCTCTAAACAGAGGGGCTCACTTATGGGGGAGGCTGTGGCCCCCCAGCCCACCCTGGTACAAAGAAATGGAAGGAAACCTGGGTACAGGTCCTCAGAGGGCCCCTCCCACCCAGCACCCATCCCACCTCCCTAGCCTAGCCCAGGCCAGGCTGAGTGCGAAGGGGAGTAGACAATGGGGTACACCAGGCCACCTCACACCTGTTTCCCCGTCTCCTGCGCTCAGGGCCCAGGCAGCCAGTGCAGCTCCTTATACCCAGAATGCCACACTCAAGCCTAAAACAGGCTTCTCAGAGATCCCAGACAAGTGAGGGGCCGCACATCCCCAATGCCCACTAGTACCAGGCCAACTGCACCCCCACATGCCATTCCACACACCCCTGCCCAGCCAACACCACCACCCTCAGAATGCACCTCAGGCCAGCCTGAAGCCCCACCCCACCCCTCCAGCTCGCCCCACCTGGTTAGGGTGGGTGTTGTTGTCCTGGGGACTCTTGCCCCCGGCCAGGAGCCCAGAGGCTGGTAGATTATGCTCTGAGCTGCTACTCCTGGAAGAATCAACAGCCCCCAGCGGTCGCTCCTCGGGAGAAAGTAGAGATGTTCGGATTAAGATTTAGTCCTGGAATTCAATGAGGCCCTTGTACTCAGACTTGCAGGGTCACCGTGAGTCTGAGTGGATTTGGCGATGGGATTTTGTTTGTTTGGGCTGAAGGGATCACATTGCTGACTTCAGGTGGGTCTTTGCTGATAGTAGAGTACCGGAAAGATGTTTACAGTACAGTGAACCCTCGTTTATCGCGGTTAATCGGTTCTAGACCCTACCGTGATAAATGA